TCACATCTCCTAGGTCGAGTGGGGCTTCTAAATGTGTCCCACTCTAATCTACCTCCTGAATTTAACAAAATAAGTTGTTCTTGAATAAGGCCTTAAGCACAAAGACTAGGAGCACAAATGGAAAGCTACGGATCTGAGAGCCATACTATTTCACTCACTGGATCACATGGGCATTTTGGAAGTACATCACCAAGTCTTTCTTACTCGAGACACCGAGTTTCTAGGTTTCTGATTCTCAGTTGAGCCTGCTACCATGTGCACCGCCCACAGACGCTTGGCACCAGGCCATCCTGGCTCAGATCCTGCCCATCATTAAGGAGGGGCACAGAATTTACACCACAGAATTTTTTTGTATCTCTGTTTTCTTATCTGTAAGATGGAAATGAAAAGTACATCTCTACTGAGAGTTTAGGAAGGGCTGAATAAAGTGTTTATAAGTTCTCCTTTGGTGATTTAAAACTTGTTAGATGTTACCATAAATGAAAACATTTTTATACTGGCCCAGGAATCCTGGTAGCATGCAATGCCAACCAAAAGGTAACACATCATATACTTATGTATTATTTTCCCATTAGTTTATGGATTTATTGTTTAAATCATAGTTATTGTCATATACTAAAGATCTGGAACCTACCCACAGCTGATGCTCCCATGGGTTTTCAGAGGCAGCTGATCGCACGGGAGGAGACTGCCCATCTTTCTCCCGAAGAACAGCTGGTGGCCGTGAACCATGTGTCTTTAGGACTACAGTGAAGTTTCTTGCCAATAGGTCACTTGTTGTTGATGATTGCCTTCGAGTCAAGGTCGACTCATAACGACTCTATGAACAAAAGACCTAATGCCTTTCCATAGCTAACATTGTTTCTCCAAGTTCATAGTTTCCAGTTCACAGCTTCCATGTCATTTAGGAAGTAGATGCCACTCCTTCTTCCAAACCTGTTTTACAACTGGGATCTCCACCAAACACTGTCCACAATGGGAAACCATTCAGGTATTTGTCATCCCCATTGCACAAGGCTCAGCATCATAGCAAACCCAGGTTACCTCATTTAGTACATTGACAAAGAGTAATGTGCAAAGTATAAGAATGTTCCTCCCGATAACAGCCCTAGTCTCATTTAGCAGTGGTTAAGTGTTGTTGAGACAAATATGACTCAAAGTAAGCTTTGCACAAAAGACCTGAAATCTGTTCTATAATTAACATAATTTCTGTACATTTACAAGAGAGGTTGTAGTTTTTCCAGAGGCATCTAGTTTAGGACGTGGATGTCACTCCTGCTTCCAAACATGAATCAATCTGGAAGCTCATCCAAACATTGTACATAATGGGTAACCACTATGGTATCTGACACGACTATGGGATAGTGTTCAGTAGTATCACAGCAACTCCAAGTTGTGCAATACAGCAAGTAGACAAATGATTACTGTGTCTTTAAAAGAATATTCTTCTAAAATTATAAGAGCTCCCAATCGTATAGAAAGTAAAAAGAATTACACACAAAAAATATAAAAAAATAAGGGGAGCTCTGGTGGCCTAGTGGCAAGAAGCTGCAACTACAATCCCAGAGGTGCACGGTTCGAATCCACCAGATGCTCTGCCGGGGAAGGAGGGGCAATCTCCTCCTGTACCAGTCAGATCTGATTTGACGGTACACGCACACAAAATAATAAAATAAAATAAAAAAAAATTAAAAACAAAAAATATTAAAAAATAAAAATAAAATGATACTGACTTATATTTACCTCCGTAGTTATCTTTACGAGTTTTTTACCTTCAAGTTGCTGTCTAATATTCTTTCATTTTGAAGGGGAAGCAGAAACCCCATTTTTTATAAACCCCCATTAGCGCTAGAGGCAGAAGTGGGCCATAAAAATTCTTGGCTTAGGGCAAACATGAGTGCCCCGGGTAAAGCCTAGTCTGTCCTTAAAAAAGTAAGGAATTAATTAGTGTCTACGTGACACAAAAAGAGTAAAGGTGGGCAAAGTAACCAGCCCATCAAAAGCCGACCAAGTGACTGACCCCCCGGCCCACCAATCTCTTTTGCCCTACCAGGGGCACTCAAAAAAAGCTATACAACCAAGTGGGAGGGAAAACTCGGGGCTTTTTTCCTTCACCACCTTCCTGGGGAAGGGGAAAGCCTCCTTGTGTGGAAAATTAAATAATAAACGCTCTTAAAATTTCAGATGTGTTTTTGGATTTCTTTGAGGGGCATTTCGCGGGCACAACAACTTCAGCCTCAAGGAGGTCTCAGGCAATCCCTGAGCTATGTACGGCCAACTTACGTATAACCTATAATATCGAATCAACCCCTGAAAGCCTTCACACTCTCATTGCCCTGGATCTGAAAGGCTGGCGGTTCAAATCTGCCAGCCATTCTGTCAGGGATAAAAAAAGAACCAGGAAACTACTGTTAAGATTTACATTTATCAGAAACCTCAACAGAGGGTCACTCTGAGGTGGAATCCACTCAACAGTAGTGGGTTTGTTTAATACCTGCCAAGTCTTTCTCCCATGATGAGTAGGTCTAATATGAACATAGGCATTTAAATCTTATCTTTTTTAGATCATATCCTTAAATATTCTGCAAATTCAGACTTTTCACTAATTTGGACTACGGTCTTCTGTCTATACTTTAAATATTGTTGTTGTTAAGTGCTGTTGAGTCTTAGACAGCTCATGGTGACCCTATGAACGAAAGACCTGAACACTGGTATTAACTTTCATCGTTTCTACAAGTTCAAAGGGTTTCCGTAGGCAAGCTATTAAGGAAGTGGATGCCACTCCAAAGTTTAAATATTAGACAGAAATAAAAATATAAACTCTTAAAACTAGTAAAAGCATGATGGCAACTTCAGAAATCTTTCTCAAGGGACTCCTTTATATGGGAACCAACTCAAGTGCATCTCAAAAATCTGAATACAATTACTTCTTTTTTACATGGGTGGAAGGGTGAAAGAACAGATGGATAGAACAGGTCAGGTATTTCTCAAAGAAAAAAGCAGGACAAAGCTAATAAAAATTATTTAAAATCATACTATTAAAGACCATTATTGTAGAACAAGTACAAGGACCCAAGGAGGGAAGGGGGGCGCAGAGGTGAAGATGGACGGGGCGGGGCAAACTTTAATCACAGAGTTGCACAATTTGATGGATGCAGGGAGGGGTGAGTAAAGGAAAGGGGAAAGATACGGTGTGAAAAACAGCTTGAAGTTTGTAAGTAAACCAGCATAAAATAAAAAAATAAACACGACCCAAACATATTGCAACCTTAATTTAAAATAAAACTCAATTATTTTGTAACCACATTATGAACTTGCTATCCAAAAATCCCAAAAATAATGATTTAAGACCATAAACATGAAGTCAGTTGGTAAAAATAACAAAAGATTACTATTAAATTTATTCTCTCTTTTTTTAGATATCGAACAAGATGGGCACAAGCAGAGGCACTTCTAGACACCTGCTCTTTTCTTTTTTATCAACTACAAAATTAAATGTAGGAATTAACTAATAAAACCACAGGGCCCAGCCTATCCGAGCAGTCCCAGGATGGAATAAGCAGAGGTAGGAATTTCTTACACTAAAGGCCCTAACTTACAATACATGTAATTCTAAAATGCTGCTGTTAGCTGCCGTCATGGTAGAACAGACTCGCAGCTGACCCTCCTCCAGTGGGTTTTCAGATGCTGCCAATCACACTCATGGAGAATGGCCACCTTTCTTTTTTGGAGTAGCTGGTAGATTTGAACCACCTGCCTTTGGGTCAGTGTTGTAACTGCTTACCACTAAGATGTCAAAAAGACATATTCTAATATAGAAAATTTTCTGCTATAATTAAAACTTACAGAAATGACAATATGCCTGTGCTTACCATATGTAACCAGCAAAGCAGTTAGTCCACACCTAAATAATCAAGGGTGGATTATCATGTGTTCTTTTCAGACTTAATAAAGAACTTCTACATAATTCAGATTTAATGCTTAACAATACTTTAAGAGAAAGCACATATTACTTCTATCTTACAAAGAAACTCAAGAGTCAGGTAACAGAACTGAGACTGCATCCTATGTCTTCTATTACCCTATCAACTATCTGCCCCAGTGTCCCAGAAAGGAAATCATATAAATCATGACCATCTGCTCTCGCAAGATTTAAGTTTTAAAGATGCAAGTTTTAAGAACTCTGTTAACGGAACTTTCCAGAAGAAGGCTATAAAAATTTAACTCCATTTGAAGCTATACTAAATGCAAACAGTGCTTGTAATGCAAAACCCTTAATCTTCTCACAATTTTTGAGTGGATAACCTTTAAATTTAGGGTAATTTAATTATTTCTGTGCTTTCATTGCACTTTAATTAGGTGAGCATTTAACTTCTGCCCATGGTTTTGCTTCTCTTTCTTTTTTTTTAATACTATGGCATACCTTCCAATCTAAATCTGATGACACACAAAAGTTAGGAGGGCAGAGAACCTACAATACTTGTTTACATGGATGATGCTGGTGAGAAAAAGCATGTACAGAGTTAAGAAGAGGATGACAAAAGAAAAACAGATGTAACACAGCACTCTTAGTCTACAATTTTCCAAAGAGGTCTCAAGAATTTAAAAGTGTGGGCTGGCAAACATATGCATTAGCCTTTTCTCTTCCTTGGTCCAATTCCAAATCAGGGCACTGTGTGGCAAGGAGCTACACAGCCAAGTCGAAGTTATGACGTTTGACTCCAGCACCTGCCCCATGGGAGAAAACCAGGCAATCTCCTCCTATGCGATTTACAGCCTTTGAAAATTCACTGGCAGGTCAGCTACGAGCTAGTTCCAACTTCACAGCACACAACAATTATAAATTAAGACAGGAAAAGTTTTATCTTTCATTAGGCTATGCGACATAAAACTCAGCAAAATGTCAAGTTTTAGTTTCCAACTATCAATATGTTTTATTGTCCTAACATGTCTACCTTTAACACTAAAAAGTAATGCATCTGTTATGAAAAATTATTTACCTCACATTCAGGGCACACAACTGTGCTGCCTTCAGTTTCCAACAAGCACGGCTCACAAAAGGCATGTCTACATCGAAGCTCATGGTGGTGACCTGCGGATGAAATCCTCTGGTAAATGAAATGCCATACAGTTTGCTTACAATGAATGGGCAGTAGTGGCCTGAGTGGATCTTAAAAGGAGATTCTATTGTTTAGGACGGAGCACTGGTGGCCCACTGGTAAAACGTTGCACTATGATCCAGAAAACACAGTTTTAATCCACCAGCTGCTCCATAGGAGAAAAAATGGACAACCTCTTCCTGTGTGATTAAACTTTTGCCTCTGAAAAATCAAAGTAGAGGGTCAGCGATGGGTCAGTTATGACTCAGTGCTACAACAGCAACAACACTGGCTAGGAAGAGCTATCTAATTTAACCAGAAATGAATGTGAACTAATTTTAAAATATTTGCATGTGTTATTCACTTGATGGTATTTGGTACCCACCACATTTTTCATTTGCCCTTTTTTAAAATCACACAAGGTACCGTCACGTATTTAATTTGATCTTTGGAAGTATCATGGTTTAGTATGACAGGAATACATTCAACCTAGAAATGAAAAATAATACTTCAGTGATAAACCAGGTTTCTGTTCGGTTGTGTTTCTAAGTGCAGAATTCTTTGTACTTGGTCCTATTCTCTATTCATTTATATGTTCATTTCTCAGAGAGGAAGCAGAGGCCTTGAGAGCAAGAGGCTAAATTAAGACACAGAATATCCCTTTTTCTAAAGGAAGATGCTTTGCTCCTAACAATGTATGATGTGGCCTCAGGCATCCCATATAGGGGAGAAGCCAGGTGCTACACACACATTCCTAAGAGAACCATTTTCACAAAGGCAGCTTTTATTTAAAGCCACAAGTAGTGCAAAAGGCTAGAGGTTCAAGTCCATGGCAAGGTGACTCAGAAGAAAGGTCTGGGGATGTAACAGCCAAGAAAATTCAAGCCTCTGAAAAGCCCTGAAATACAGTATGAAGTAGCCATGACCTGGAATCAATTCAATGGCAATAGGTGGTGGTGGTGGGTGTTAACTGTGGGTTTTTTCAAGCTCTATGTAGCATTTTAAGTTCATCATAAGAATACTGACTTCACTATGTCTCTGAACAACTGTCATTTAAAAGACTTTTCATGATTAAATAGTAAAAAGAAAAGGGGAAAATACACGACTGTAGAGACTCACACTTTGTTACCAGCCAGGAGGGAGGGCCATGGTTTCGCTGCTAAACTAACAACAATGGTGATCACTTAATTCTTTTAAAAAAGCTTTCCAGCTTCTTCCTGCCAGCCCAAACATCTGAAACTTGCGTGCAATCAAGCTAAATCTGGAATCCTTGTATATCTGTGCATTAACACCATAGGGGTCTGTTACTGCTACTTGTTGTTGTGGGGTGTGTTGTGTTGTGTTGTGTTTTTTTAAAAAAAAAAAATAAAAAGCAAAAATTACTATACAAGAAAAACATTATGTAGTGACCACAGGCAATTTCTCCAATTAGAGGAAAGCGGGCGCTCGGGAAGGGGGCAGAGATGACCCCGCTGAGCCTCCATCCTAACGGCTGCGGCCAACGGGTGGACTGGCCGAGGGGCAGCGGTCCCTGGGGGGGGAGTCCTTGCACGTCCCCCTTTCACACCAGGCACCGATTACCGTCCACCCCCGCTGCACCACCACCTCGCAGCTCTCGTCCAACAGCCTCACGCTCGCTGCTGCCCAGCGGGGAAACTGAGGCCGGGCAGGCCGGCGGGGGTGGGGGGGAGGGCGGCTCCGGGCGCGGCCGGGCCCTACCCATCGAGGTGCTCACCTGCTGCCCTGGGGGCTCTCTTCCCACACAGGACGCACTGATTCTCCGCTGCACCCCAGGGGCGAGTCTTCCGCCCCATCTGCGTGTAGGACGATTGAGAGAAGCCTGGCGTCGACTTAGCAGCCGCCATTGCCTGCCGAGGCAGTTCTGGAACCACAGCACCGCGTGCCAGTTCCTGTGCGCTCAGTGACCAATCCCAGAGGAAGGCCTTTCCAGTTAGCCAATCAGAACAATCCCAGAGGAAGGCATTTCCAGTTAGCCAATCAGAGGGCAAAGCTTTTAAAGCCCGCCTCCCCCATCTCCCAGGAGTGAGTGAGCTCAACCTTGCAGCTGGGTGGGGGATATACAGGGTGGCTTCTGGGCGTTGGCTCTCCAAGAAAGGTAGGTAGTGAAAGACCTTTCACTGTGCAAATCCCATCCAAAGCACACAATCAATTAAAATACAAATCCTGTTTATTGTTACGTGTTAATAAAATGCAAGTCCTGTTTATTGTGCAAATCCTGTTTATTGTTACTTGTTAATGAAATGCAAATCCTGTTTATTGTTACTTGTGTTGTTAATGAATTCACAGGTTGTTGTTATTGTTGTTATGTGCCGTTGTTGAGTCACTTGTGACTCATAGTGATCCTATGTACAACATCCCTAAACTCTGCTCTGTCCTGTGCCAATCGCACCTGTCTCCAATACACCCATCCGGATTACCCCAGTCACTGAATCAATCCACCTGACAGAGGGCCTTCCTCTCCTGCGCCTTCCCTCCACCCTACCAAGCATGATGTCACTCTCCAAGGACCGGTCCCTCCTTACAACATGTCCAAAGTCAGACGGAGCCTCAAAATCCTTGCCTCCAAGGAGCCGCCAGATTTGACCCTTTACAGGATGAATCTGTTTGTTTTCCTAGTAGTCCATGGTACCCTCAATACTCTTCTCCAGCACCACTCTCTGATGCATAACAAGTGATTGCAAAGACCATGGCCTGTATCAGACGCACCTTAGTCTCCAGAGAGACACCATTGCTCTT